ACCATCCGCAGCAGAGGCTGGGTCGGATGGCCGGACAAGCTGGCATGAAGGGGACGCGGGCTGTGTGGGAGGCTCGAAGAGCGGGCTTTGCGGTGGACTCCGCCCGGGCTGAAGTCGAAGCATGCTCGGCAGTGTTGAGCTACTAATGTGTCAGATGTGTGGGTCTGGAACTTGTTGGAATTTGCGGGAACTAGACCGCTGCTGCTAGTGATAATAACAAGAACAGCAAGAACAATAATAACAGGCATACGCAGGATCCCTTTGTAAACACGCGCAGGTCCATTGCTAATGTGCATGTTGCATGGTGGCGCGAACGGCATGTCAGTTCACGCGAACGTGCTTTCCTCGTTTTCTCCAAAGTTCTTTGCATATCGGCTTCAGTCGAAGGGGCGGAAAGTCCAAGATGCGTTTCGTGTGGCCTGCGTGGGACAAAACCCACTTTTTCTATGTAGAATTCGCGAACATGGTCTGGGTTGCTGTCGGTTTTGTTTTCTTGCAGAACCCCCGTGTCAAGAGAAAATGTGCGCTTTTGTTTGGAAAACCGCTGGACGCAAATAGGCGAACAGTGCCTTTGTTGGTTTGTGGTGTGTCGTTTCGCCTGGCCTGCGTGGAAGAGAATGCACTTTGTGCAAGACGAAATGATCAGCGTTGCAATGTGAAGATGACCAAGAGGAAATTGACGAGGCCGAGCGAAAGACAAAGATGAAGAGGAGGATGACTGTCATGATGATGATGATGATGATGAGGATGAGGATGATGAGGATGAGGACGACGATGACAATGAGAATGATGATCATGACGATGACGATGAGATTGATGGTGGCGATGATGACGACTGTGTAGGTGACGGTGATGCTCATGTTGTCGGGATGGCGGTGTTGATGAGCCGTCTGCAGGAGGAGTAACTGGCACAACAGCAGCAACAGGCACAACAGAGCCTGTGTCAGTACTCGTCGTAGTAGTAGTAGCAGCAGCAGCAGCAGTAGGAGCAATACTGATGGAACAAGGTGTCTTCTGCCCTGGCTACAGACAGGATTGCCTGAAGGTTTCTTTCTCAGATCGATCTTTCTTCAGGTATTGGGGGCGTACCCCAGGAGATCTTTCCGTCTGTTGCGGTCCAAAAAAAACTTCCTCTACATATGGAACGAAGGCAGTGGATATTCATCAGACACTTTAGTGGCAGGGGTGTGAGCGGTCTCTCTTTTTCCGTGTTGCTATGTTGCGTTTTTGTTGGTCGTTCTGACATTTTTTCCTCTTGGGGGTTGTCTCCTGTGAAGCCCTAAAGCTTTGACATTAAAGTCTGAAGCCCCAAACCCGAGGCGCTGAAGCCAAGTGCATTTCGATTACTCTAAGTAAATTTATGACTAATTCGTGATGCAGGAAGTTGCTTAGGCTTGCTTGGATACGCGTATAAGTTGCGTGCGGGTGGGCAAACAGGGCTTACCACAGGGTCTTGGTTTTTGTGCGGGAAGCTCACGTGGTCAGAGGCTTAGACAAATCTTAAGCTGAGACATGGCCGAACCCCGAAGCAGTAGTTCTGGCGTGCGTAAATTGTTCTGCATACAAGCCAATCCGACATCGCAAAGAGTTGAGCAGGGTTGTTATTAACGCTTGGATTGGTTCAGGGCCTCCGCGCCAACGAAGGCTTAGAATCAGCACATACACAGCTCGCGTTCGGATCCGTTTCAATTCGCTGGCCAGGCCGCATGGTCGTTGGTGGGGCCCGGCCTGGACAGGTGAGTCATTTGCAATCTCATCTTGGAATTTGTTCAACTATCGGCCCTCACCCTGAGGTTACAACAAGCCCTGTTTACTGCCGGTTTGCTCCAGGCGAGCACCACGCGCACCTTCGAGTATGCTTAGCTTAGCTGAAAGTTGTGCCAAGCCTGCTAGCCAAAGGCCCCAAGAGTTTGTCTGCAGAGGTTTTTTAAAAGCGATCGCACACCCGAACGCCGACTGGAGCTAAACGTGTTCAAGTCATGGGTCGGAGCCACATGGGCATAGTAATATGCCAGCAGCAAAGGGCTGTTTTCTTCTGGCTTACTCGTAGGACTCGTAGCGTGCACAGGGCACCTGAGAACATCGAGCATGAAGCGTGCGTGCATGGAGTTAGTTACTACATGTTACTACCCTTCATCACATGAGAGACCAGAGACAGCCAAGCTGTCGAATGTCCTCTTGCAGTCTGTTGCGATTTTTCAGGCTTGCAGGCCGGCAGACAAGTGCGGCGCAGGTGATCACGCAGCACGGCAGGCAAGGAGAAATCCGGAACAGCCCGGGAGGAGGATGACGGAAGCCAGCATGCTGCCGATAGGATGCTTCTGCTGCGAAGAAGCCCAAGCGTGAGCGCGAAGAGAAAGGCACACGGGAACACGTAAATGAACAGTTGACGTTGCCCTTGTGCCATCAATATGCACGAAGTTCTTCAGTGAGGAGATCGAGGAGGCAAAAAAGACAAGAAGGACGATACGGTCAGAAAGAGCAAGAGGGACAAGAAGGTGGGTCAGAGTAGACTGTCTATGCCGTGGGCAAGGACAGATTTTTGTGTGGCATATGTTTGCCAGCAAAGATCCTAGATTCAGGGCAAGAAAGACAGAAGGAAGGAAGGGGAGGCTGGATCTCTTCGGACACGCTATGCCAGAACTTTGCTCTTTCGGGGAACAACTGCCCCGTGGACGGTCAGGAAGGCAAAGATGTGGAGGATCCTCGTGTAAGGTGCTCGAGATTCCCACATCGGTATGTTTGACTCGGAGGGTCTGTTAGGAAAAAGGGTCTTCGTGACTGCCTTGGTTTGCCCGAGGCCTCACGCCGCGTTCCGGAAGTGCCTTGAGCTCAGGGGCCTCAAAGCTTGTGAGGGTCAGCTGGTGAGGTGTTGATGACCTGAATCTCTAGGAGCCACTATCTCTAGCAATGTTCTTCAAAAAGGGGGTGGTCGAGACGAGCCGACGTCAATGTTTGGAATAGTTTGGAATGTTCAGGCATGGCCTAGATGTGCTTTTTCCGCCGGACCGAGCTGAGGTCGGGTAGCTCCTCTTCCGATGTTGAGGTTGGGCAACTTGTGGGTACTGTCGGTCCCCCAGAAAGGCAAGACAGCCAAGGACTTGCATCTTCTTTTCCAGCTAGGCTGGTCCATCCATCCTGAGATCCGCCGGCCCAAGACCAAAAGGCATGGCACACGCACAAGTCTGGTTTGCAGATGAGATGGGAAACCGCATCCTTCAGGCATAAGTACACAGAAGGCCGCTCTTTCCTTGCATAATGCTTTGTCTCGCAGGAGGCAGTCGCAACATCACTTTCAGCATTGCCAACCAGGCACTAGCAGCACATCTCCGAAATCCGTGCAGCAGACGTGAATTCCACGTCAATGGTCGCCAAGTGCACCCACAGGATCATTTCCGAAATCGGCGTGGCAACTACACTGGCTTGAGTCCTGTGGCAGGTTGATGTTGTTTCCTACCGTGCTTGCGGCGAACACCTCTGGTTTCCCAACCCTCAATCGAACGTTTTGCCGGGGACTTGGCAATTCATGCAGGCATGGGAAAGGAGGGGACTAGATCTGAACAGGATGGGATGCAGCGGGAAACACCCGAAGCAAGAGATACTGGCCGTTATTTGTCACATCTTATCACCAAAGAAGACGATCTGTCGTCAAGGGTCTTCTTGCGGAAATGCGTGCCTGCTTTGCGCGAGGGTGCGAGTCGAAAGAATGATCTCAAATGTGAGTGTTTTGCCCGGTTCGTACCAGTCACTTTCCCTGGTGTCCTCAGTGTAATCGCCGCCTAGTGGTTGCATTCAAGGACTTCCAGGTCACACTGCCATGCTTGACTGATTTTGGCAAGTGTTGATCCAGGTGCGAACGCTGCAAGAAGAGGGTGCCACAGAGGCACTGCATGGAGTGTCAGGGAGACAGGCTTGGGTAAGCCCGCGAATGTATGTACACACGGACCTGCAGCCATGAACGCGGAAACGTCAGGAAGACCGCTCCAACATGCTACTGGTAGCACATCTGTCCCCTCTCAAAATAAAAAGGTGCTAAACGCAGTCAAGCTGTCTATACCCTTGATGCTTCGAGGCTTGGACAGCTGAGAGGCGGAAACGGAAAGTCTTCCTTCATGTGCGACGAGTTCTTCTGCCAAGCCCTGAGCAATCGTGACTGCTCCTGAAGGGAAACGAACAGGCAGTCGTCTCAGGTGACGATTGCTCTGCGAAGTTGACACTCTCCACCTGACCAAGCTGCCATAAACAAGAATGAGTGTGACAGCTAAGTAAGCCGCAAGCTGGTGTCTTTAAACGTTAGCAAGGCTGTTGAAGCGCAGCAGACCTCGTGCAGGATGGAGCACACGCCGGCCGATCCTCGAAGCAAGTGCACATCAGCAAGGATGTTTACTGAGACAACACATCGGCAACCGAGCCCAGATTCAGTTGTAGGTACGTGGAACAGTCAGCATGGAATCTCTGGCAGCCACCACAACCAGGAAAACAACTGTAATGAACCATGGACTCCAGTAAGAACACGCCTTGAAAAGCCCGATTAGAAGTTTGGGGCGGAATGCCATAGAGAGCCGCTGCTGGCAGGCTTGCTTTCATAAATTCTCTAAGCAGCTCCCATTCTGCCACGGCGTGGAAAAGGCATTGGCCATATGATTTGTGAGCCGTTCCGGTATGACGCGTTCGTTCGGGCCCTAGTCTCCCGATGTCTCCGGGCTGCTTGACACAGTCGGACTGCTGCTTGAGCCCAGGATCTACGTGATTTCGCCCAACGGACAACAACAGTGCGCTGGTGAATACAAACAGTCACAAGATTCGGCCAACGGTTGCCCTGTGCGCCAGGAGTTCGGGGCAAGTATTTAGCAAACGCAGCTGCTGCACACAGCATGGACATAACCTGAGAGGTATGGGAGCAAAAAGGAGGTGGCTTCTGGATGTATACAGGTCCAACAGCTCCCTGATGATGCAGTAGGATGTTTAGATCCTTGCTGTGGCCTGAAGGTGCAAATGGTATGTGGATTATCGGGGGGCAAGATGCCAAAGACAAAAACTTCAAGTGCTCGCACGGCTTCATCTTCTGCCGAACTCAAAACGCTGGAGTCCGGGCTCTAAGGGTTTGGTGCCTATCTGGCGATCGTCAGCCTTGTCGATTGCATGCTTCTTGAGGTCTCGCCAGAAAAGATCACCGGAGTCCTTGACCAAATTCGTTGAGTCTGCGTAAATCGTGTTGGCAACATCTGGAGTTGCTGCGCTAGGCTTGGCGTGATAAGGTCTGGGAAAGGCTGAGTGGCGAGTATTTCGTCGAGGATCGCAACATTGTCGTCCGACTCTCGGGTGCGAGGACAAAAATTAAAAGATCACCAGCATGACTGTGGAAGGTCACGAATGTTCTACACAAACCTTCGCCCCTTCGGGTTGCCAGCCCGAATGGACAGCAAAGATGCGCTGGCGAGTACGCCGCTAGCTGAGTATACATTTGTGATCCAACTGGCGCACCAGTTGGCTGTATGCCGAGGCACTAATGCCAGATTGCACTGCAAATGGGCTACCGGTTTGGGAGCACAAGGCTGGAAGGCAAGGCCTGTCCCACAAACAAAGCATCCAAGTTAATCGGCTTGAAATTCTTGTACGAAGGTGCTACTTGTACTGTGGGACGAACGGCTGGCCTTCAAGTTTGCTCGCGATTGTTTGCTTCCGGGCGCTCCAAGCATGCATGAGTGTGGCCAGGATCTTGGATCTTTTGTGGCTCGGACGCCAAAGAGAAAGGATTCAAGTGTGCAAAAGGCTTGCCGGGGCATATCCACCCTCCCACACCCACACCCACACCCAACCACAGCCCCACCCACCCACCCCACCCCTAACCCACCCGCCCCGCCCCGCCCCCGCCCTCCCCCCCGCCCTGCCCCGCCCCCGGTGCCTGTCCGTTTCACGTATCACATGCATGTAGCCATGCCTGTTGCACTGTTGCTTAAGGTTCGAGCAGAGTACCAGTCTACGGCTGTGCGCCTGTAGCAAAACAGACACAGGCAAACGCAGGTGTTCCTGTACCCTTTGCCGGGATACAGGCCCAGGTTTTGATCTCAACATGGTAGCTCCACACAGGTGTAGGTACCGTAGATGCGCTCCATCCTAGTGGAGGCAGCCGGCTTTCCGGTGTGCTTCACCCCGGTGACCGGAGTCTCTCCGGTATTTTTTGCTCCGGTGAAGAGAACTGGAAGAGCAATCCCCCGGGGCCCTCTGCTATGAATTTTGAGCATGGCGAAGGAGATGATGATTACCTCCCTCACGGTAGCGAATCTTATGTGACGAATCACCGACATCTCCAAGAATTACAACGCCTTTCAGCTTTTCAACAGGTGACCACCAAGGTATCGCCGTCCGATGACGGTCGAAGCCATTGGTTTGCCTATGAAGGTGCGATCGATGATAGGTGTGATATCACTGAGTCAGACGGCGACAAGCGTGGACCAGCTTTGATAAATCGGTTGGAAGGTGAAGCAGCGATCGACAAACCGCTTTTGCGAACAACGGAGTTAAGCACTTCAAAGTTTCCTGCGGCCGCTGTCTTCCTGAAGTGTGCAGCCAATGTGTTCCTCTATCGTTTCCAGCAGGTCATGAACTTGCACCGCGGTAATGGAGACATGCGTCGTTGGATTACCAGGTTTCAACTCCCCGCTCAAAGAATGCAGGAAGCCTGGAACGACACGTACCTTCCGATCACGGACCCGAACAATGCACGGGTCCGAGCGTTTGTAGCAGGACTTCCAGCAGAAGAACAGGAAGGCCTTACCAACGAAGAGGCGATGGAAAAAGCCAATGAGAGGCTCAGAGATTAGCATGCACGGACGATTCCGATCACGGCCAACCTCGTTGCCCTCATCTTTGTCCCCCTTTCCGACCTCACACAGGATCAGCGACTGGTGCTGACATCACTGATGGCTCATCGGAACCGTGTGCTGGCCGACTGCCGCCTGTCCGAACTTCGTGAGGTCTACCTCGCGATCTCACCACAAAGACTTCCGTCGATAATCCTCTCTTCGCTCCCTCTGGCCACGGTGTCCGAAAGACTTTCCTGGCGATTGAGGAAGGCTACGTGGACACTCAAGAAGGCTATTGGGTCGAGGATGAAGGGCATGGCGCACCAAGCTTCTTTGAAGCTGATGATGATGCCTTTTGGGTCTACGACGAAGAGAACTACACGTGGTTTCAGAGACATTTCCAAGGAAGGAAGATGAAGCGAGGATTCAAGGGCCAGCGCAAAGGCAAGAGCAAGGGCCGAAAGGGATCCGGAGG